TACCTTCTTAGAAGGTCGTTAAAGTTTCTAGGCCATGAAATTACTAGGAATGGAATTAGGCCGGATAATGAAAAGGTTATCAAAGTCCGAGAATACCTGACACCGAAGACTCTGCGCCAATTGAGAGGATTTTTGGGTCTATCATCCTACTATAGGCGGTTTATTAAGGGTTTTGCCTCTCTTGCTCAACCTTTGCATCACCTACTTTGGAAAGACGTACTATATGATTGGGGCGAGCCTCAACATAAGGCATTTGAAACATTGAAGCGCCATTTGACTACTGCCCCAATTTTGCAGTACCCAAATTTTGATAAGACATTCTACTTATACACAGATGCTTCAGGGATAGGTCTTGGGGCCGTGTTGTCCCAAAGAGATGAAAAAAATAGGGAGCACGTGATTGTATATGCTAGCGAAGTTTAAGTCGTGCCGAGAAAAACTACTCTACTACTAAGTTGGAGTGCCTGGCGGTAATTTGGGGAATTGAGTATTTCCACTATTATTTAGGCATTAAGCCTTTTGTAGTGATCATGAACCATGCCGCTTTTAAATAGTTGGAGACATCGAAATTGAAAGGAAGAAGAGCAAGGTGGATCCTCTGGCTCCAATCTTACATTTTTAAAATCGTATATAGGAGTGGTCGGGTGCACTCTAATGTAGATGCACTATCCTGTCTCCCCAAAATAAATGATAATGAGAAAGAAAACTGGCCAGAAGAAGCTAGGGAGGTTTTTAAAGTTGATGTTATATGTATAGAAGATAGTGAAGATGAATGGTATTCAGAAAATGAAGATTATGAAGAGGACTATGAGGATGAAGGGGATTACGAATCTGAGGTAGAAGAAATGGATTATGAAAGAACTGATAGTATAGAGGAACAATGGAATATATGGAAGGTGGATGAGAGTGAAGTAGTGAACATGAATCGGCGGGAACAAGAGTATGAGCAATTGTTACATGATTTCGAAGTAGAATCAGGTCATAGGTTGTTATGGGAAGGCCATAGTGATATTGCCCAACAGTGGTGGGAATATGAGAATGGAAAAGGAGCTGAAATGTCACTTTCCCAGGACGAAGTATACTTAGTGGATGATTTAAAGGCCATCTAGAGTGAAGAAAGCTTCTCTGATATAACCCGGATGGAATGGGAGCCCAAAAAAAATGTTCCTTGGTCCCTTACACCTGAAGAAGTTATAGAAGCCTCGGAGGAAGAAAATGACCCCAAGTATGAGGGTGATGAAGGATTATCCGATAGTAATTATTTTTTTCTTCACAATGGGAAACGTCAGATGATGATGAGTCCCAAATAGAAGTTGTAATAAACAGTGGATCGACAAGTCTAACCACCCCGGAGGAAGAAACCTTGACCGAAGAGTGAAAGGTTAATAAGAGTCTTGCAGACCAAGTAAATTAAGAGGATGCAATGATGGATGAATTTATTAAATGGCCAGAAGATGACCAGGAAAAAACCTTTGAGCTGCAAGCTATTGATATCGGCGCAGAGGGAATTGGTATTGAAAAGGATGAGCAAGCAATGAATATAGACGTGTCTATATATATACCTGTCTTTCTTTTTACTAAGTTAACTCCTAGAAGACGCCAAAAATTGGTCTTTGCAGGGAAAACCCAGCGCTTCGAAAATGAGTTCTTCCTCTACGACCATCCTACCCTTAATAACTATATAGCAGCCCGGGAGCTCAATTTAAGTGAGGCCGTATATTGGGTAGATTTTTATGGCTATCCTTTGATTGCCAACGACCTAAATAAATTACTAATCCTGCAAAACAGGATGCAAGATTTAGTATGACAAAGTGAAGCCCGGCAGTTAATGACTTTACAAACCGGCATTGACCCTGGGTGTGACCGAAGACTCGTGGATGTTCTTATATTACCTGTGGAAATCAAGTTGGATTAGTAAACGTATATAGATATTAATATTCCTTTTCTTTTAACATCTTAATATTATATGACCTCCCAGACATTCATGTCCTCAAGATCATATGACTTAAAAAAAAAAAAAAAAAAAAAAAAAAAAACATACTTAGGAGTTTTGTTAAACCCCATAATTAGTATAGGTACTTCAGTAATATTGTTAAGATTTTATTTTTTGTCAAATTCGAAAAACAGACCTAACATTAGTAAGGTTGATTAGGATAGGATAGGGCCCTATTCACTTGAGAAAAGATCGATGAAAACTTGATCAGCAAAGAATCAGTTGCCGATTGAGGTATTAAATTAGGAAGGGTCCAATAGGGACTAAGTTTGAAAAATTAAAATAGAATAAAATAAAAAAAAAGATTGTATTTGAAGAAAATGATGAGAGTTGAAGTTTAGATTTTTGGTTATAGCCGAATGCTAAGGCATTTCTCTGCTATCAAAAATCTTCTGAGAAGATGCGTAATGAATGACCCTAAGAATTGGTCAAATAAAAATAATGGCGGCATCAGAGAAAATCGATTAATTGTAAGAGTTAGGGATGGCAATAATTAAAGATACATTCGCACTATTAGATAAATAGTATCATAGTGTATCCAAGCAAATTGAAGACATTAAAGAATCTGAACAAGTTAAAATACCAAACAAATTATAGGAAGAATCCTCTGTGTGGAATTTCCTAATGGCATAAATCTGACGTTAAGCAAAAATTCGGACCAGGTAGTTGGTATCCTGGCACAAGAAGTACTAAGATGGATCTGGAAAGATTTAATCAATTAAAGCACTTTCTTCAAGAACAATATATTGATCTGAGATTGTCCAAGAAAGAAAGAAAAGGACTTATAAATAATGGGCGGATGTTCTTCTTGAAAGATGTGATTATTTTCTGAAACAACAGCAGAAACTCAAATAAGCCGTTGAGGGTTATTCAAACCCAAGAAGTGGAACCAGTATTATATCTAGTTCATGATCACCTATTAGGAGGTCATTTAGGGATCGAAACCATGTTTGAGAAAATAAAGCAACTCTATTACTGGCCTCAATTATATGAACGTATGTGAAGTCCTGTGACCAATATCAACGACAAGGTAAGCCCCGGCTGACTACTCTCTTACACCCTATACCGGTCGGGGCTCCTTTTTATCAGGTTGGTATAGATATTGTAGGACCACTACCTATCACATCTAGAACAAGTAGGTACATAATGGTGGCAACAAATTATATGACTAAATAGCCGGAAGCTAAAGCCATTAGTTCAGCAAATGCTCAGGAAGTGGCCAATTTCCTGTACAATGAAATAATTTGCCATCACGAGTGCCCCGAGTTGATCCTGTCAGATCGAGGAACTCATTTCCGAAATAAGCTAGTTCGGAAATTACTAGAAAAGTTCCAAACTAAGCATGTTTTGTCGACGCCATACCACCCCCAGACAAATGGGCTGGTAGAACGGTTTAACCAGACTCTGTGCGAGTCGATTGCCAAAACTGTGGAAAATGCAGCAGATTGGGATTTAATTATCCCATCTATATTGTTTGCCTATCGAACTTTGAAGCATTCTACAAGGATAACGCCATTCTATCTAACCTACGGTCGAGATGCAAGACAGCCCATTCAATCAAGTGAAAGTGTTGGGGAAACTATAGCCCAAAGAGTTCGAGGGCTGGTAGATATGTTACTAGTAATTCGCCAAGCTGCCATTCTTCAAGTACAAAAGGCGCAGAATAGGCAAAAACAGCTTCACGATAGAAAAATTCAGAATATTACTGAGTTTGGAATA